CCCCTGCTCCTTCCCGGGCCTGTCTGCCCGCCCCAGGCTGGCGGATGTCCTTGGGGCCGGAGCACATGGGTGTGTGGTAGGAGGCACCAGGCCCTGGGGGTGCCCAGATTATATGGTCACACAGCTCCCTGTGCGCCCAGCCCGGCCTCCAGGACCCTCCTGGACATCCCACTGCGGGCCTTTGGCGCCACCTGGTGGCCAGAGGTGGCTTCTCCGCCTTTCCCAGGACCCGGCCCTGTTCTAGGGGCACAGCCCCCGGGGGGCAGGGAGGACAGACCCTCTCCAGCCTGCAGCCCCGCGATTGCTCTGAAAAGCTCACGTCCTCCTAGCCTTACACCCAGTATTTGGTTCGTGCCGTGTGGGTCATGCCCAGAGGCAGCGGTCATTCCAGCCACCGCCCTGGCCCTGCCCCTGGCTCAGGCAGGGCTGACTGCCCATCTCCACGGCCCATCCCAGCCGGATCCCTGCTCCTGCTCCGCGTGGTGCCCACGGCCGAACCCCCACCTGGAAGTGCAGCGCGAGGGCCGCCCCAGCCCATCGGGGTCCCTGACAGTCTGTCCCTGAGCCCAGCCCTGGTCTCTCCTCCGAGGACGCTGCCCAGACCCTGCCCACGACCGCAAGGCCCAGCCGCCCCTCCTCTCTGTCCAGCTGCCTCCCTTCGATGTCCTGACCCCACTGGCTCTCTGACCCCTCACCTTCGAGTCGTCCTCTGCCTGAAACCCCAGGTCAGGTCATGCCCTTGAGCTCACCTTCCCTCCCCTGGCCGCTCCCTTCCACATCCTCTGGGCCAAGCCTCTGGCCAGAACTCTCTCCCAGGACTCCACCTGCTCAGCACCCACCCTGGGCAGCTGGAGGCAGAGGCTCACCCTAGCCCTCACCTTAAACCCTAACCCCTAACCCTAACCCTAACCCCAACCCCTAAACCCTAACCCCTAACCCTAACCCCAACCCCAAGCCCTAACCCCTAACCCCTAACCCCTAACCTGGGCAGCTCCAGGCAGAGACTCCCCCAACCCTCACCCTAACTCCCTAACCCTAACCTTAACCCTAAGCCCCTAACCCTAACCTTAACCCCCTAACACTAACCCTAATACTAACCTCCTAACACTAACCTTAACCCCCTAACCTTAACCCCCTAACACTAACCCTAACCCCCTAATCTTAACCCCCTAACACTAACACCCTAACCCTAACCTTAACCCCCTAACACTAACCCCCTAACCCTAACCTTAACCCCCTAACACTAACCCCTTAACCCTAACGTTAACCCCCTAACACTAACTCCCTAACCCTAACCTTAACCCCCTAACCTTAACCTTAAACCCTAACACTAACCCTAACCCCTAACCTGGGCAGCTTCAAAGGCTCCCCCTAACCCTCCCCCTAACTCCCTAACCCTAATACTAACCCTAACCTTAACCCCCAACACTAACCCCATTACCCTAACCCTAACATCCTAACCCCCTAACCATAACCCCCTAACACTAACACTAATCCCCTAACCCTAATCCTAACCCTAACTGATAGGGTTAAGGTTAAGGTTAGGGTTAGGGTTAGAGTTAGGGTTAGGGCAGTGATGGCGAACCTTTTGAGCTCGGCGTGTCTGCGTTTTGAAAAGCCCTAACTTAACTCTGGTGCCGTGTCACATATAGAAATTTTTTGATATTTGCAACCATAGTAAAACAAAGACATATTTTCGATATTTATTTTATATATTTAAATGCCATTTAACAAAGAAAAATCAACCAAAAAAATGAGTTCGCCATCACTGGGTTAGGGATAGGGTTAGGGTTAAGGGTAGGGATAAAGTTAGGGTTAGGGTCAGGGTTAAGAATAGGGAGAGAGTTAGGGTTAGGGTTAAGTATAGGGTTAGGGTTAGGATTAGGTTTAAGGGTTAGGAATAGGGTTAGGGTCAGGGTTAAGGATAGGTTTAGAGTTAGGGTTAGGGTGAAGGATAGTGTTAGGCTTATGTTTAGGGCTAGGATTAGGGTTAGGGTTACTGATAGAGTTAGGGTTAGGGTTAGGGATAGGGTTAGGGTTAGTATTAGGTTTAAGGTTAGGGTTAGAAGGATAGGTTTAGGGTTAGGTTAAGGATAGGGTTAGGTTTAGGGTTAAGGATAGGGTTAGGGTTAAGGATAATGTTAGGGTTGAGTTAGGGCTAGGGATATGGGTAGGGTTAGGGTTGGTGCTAGAGCTATGGTTAGAGTTAGGGTTAAGGATAGGGTTAGGGTTATGGATT